CGTCGTATCTCACCAAACTTCTATCCTTTTAAAGTATATCTCATTTGCATATTCGTTCCGTTTTTTTTGGTATTGGGTTGGAAAAGTTTTGCCATTAATCGTGGCCGTCAAAGAACTTAGGAGTTATGTTAGAAGAAGAACGCGAGAGACGTCACAAACAATCTAAATTATAAACAATTCGTTCCACCCGCAAGTAGCCGCGATAAAATTATCAAGCATTGACCGGTCCATGGTGATAAAAAGGTTGGGGAGCACTAAGGTAGGGCCTCTTGCAACAAAATTAAAATCTTTTTTTTTCCAATGATGCTGCCGATTGATATTTTTACCATTGCAAGAGAGAGAAAGAGAGAGAGGGAGAGACCTAGTACATTTCCCAGAAGCTGGCATCACTTTTTAGTGCGACACTACATAAGCGATACCCACTGCCGCAAATAATTTTGACGTTCAGTTTCCTCCCCAAAGTGAAGCACCTGAGCTCTGACGATGCGAACTTGTTCTTGAAATTTAATTTTGCTGAGAGCACACAAGCCCCAAAAAGGTACTTAAGGGACCCAGCACACATGCCACATAATCATGCGACATGGTCGCTGTCGATTTTCTGCATCATGAAAAACCCACCGACTTGAGCTGGGGTTGAATTCGCACTATTAGAGATGTAGAAGGCCAGCGATAAGCCAACTTCGCCGCAGCCGGCGAAACAAAAAAAAAACAAACAAAAAATTAAGGAGAAGGAATTTAAAACAGATAACTGGGTAAAAGAAGTTCATTACTCTAAATGAAAAAGTAAATTTCTTATATAACGAGGTGTTAAGCAAAAGAAAAGAGGAGAAAACTCTTTCACACAATTATGATTCCATGGTTGATTATTAACTTAGCACTTTGATGCTGCACGAGGGCTAACAGTGACGAATCTCGTAATTTTGAACCACGGTATGATAATGATCCCAAATGCATAAAATGAATCAGGAAAAAAGGTTATGTCTCTTTGATGTACTAATTTAGCTCAATTAATACATATACTAATTATTCAAGTAGAATACATATAATTTTTTTTTATAGTTTAACCTATTCTATTATCATAGAATGTTCTTTCATCTTAAGGTATCCGACTACTTTCGGAACTATCATTTTGCAGAAGCGTATAAATAGATAATATGCATGATATTTAGAGTCACTTAGATTAGAAAATGTATATAAAATTGTTTTAAGAATATTATTATAACAAAAAATTATTTAAGTACAATATTTTGACAAAAAATGAATATAGAATGACCCATTTTCAAAATAGTCTCCTTTTGTAAAAAATGCTTCTATTATAATAATATTTTGCCTGTATATAAGCTCAAGACCTCTGTACAGAGGCTTCAGAACACTGAAATGTAAAACTTAGAAGTGGGTTTATCCATGTTTTATGGCAACAGAGGGGAGAAATTTTAAGAAAAAAAAAGCCGATAAATATTTCAATTGGTTGAAAATAATGTGAATTTTTCAAAAAAAAAAATAGTTTAGACTCTCTGGAGAAGTCTTTACTTTATATAAGCACACACACACACAAAATATTATTTTAGAAGCATTTTTTATAAAAGGAAATTTGGTAAAAAGTTATTCTAAGTTAATTTTGAAAATAGTGCTCCTTTAATAATTTTACCTAATATCCTTAGAAACATGCGCATTGAAATCTGGTGACGATGGCATCATGAAGAATATCCATTTATGATAACGTTTTAAATCGGTTCCGCGCGCAGTCGGATACGCAGCAATTAGAACCGAAAATCCTATTGAATGTGTTAAAGATTACTTACAGAGAGCATTCGTCTTCAAATTTTATTGACTCACGGAATCCTTTGAATTATAAGGCATTTTTGAGGAGCCCCAGTAAACATACACCAGTGGCGTACACAGGAATTTTTCAAAGGATTTTTCCAGGGTTGAAAGTCCAACATTCTCGTATCATACTCCAATACGCCGCCCAACATATTCTTTTGATTTTGTCGGTTTTCGAGAACAAAAAACAGTAAAAAATTAATTATTTAATAATTAATTAGTATTAATTAATAAAATTAATTATTAATAACAAATACTTATTTAAATTTTACGTATTAAATATAGAGGATTATAATTAATTGTAGAAAAATCAAGGGCTCTGAGGGGTCTGAACCCGGGAACCCCCACCCTCCTTGTGTGCGTCATTGACATATACACAGAATATATCTTAAAAATAACTGTTTGAGTACCGTAAATCCGGTGCATAACGCACACTACCACTTTTCAAGCTGCTGTGCAATTTTTGGTATATTTGCCGGCCGAATAACGTGCACCCCTCCCCTTTCTTACGAAGAAAACCCACAAACGTACATATGCAATGCTCTCACGTTTTGAAGTCATTTATTCTCAAGGTATTGCTCCAGGCATTAGAAAAAATTAGTATATTTCTAGAACTCTACAACCCTTTAAGTTCATAAGGAATGTCACTTCTTTTAAGGGATCCGACTACGTTCGGAATCGTGATTTTGCAAAAACGTATAAATGGATAATATTTATGATATTTAGTGTCACTTAGATTAGAAAATGTATATAAAATTGTTTTAAGAATAGTATTACAATAAAAAATTATTTAAGGTATCCGACTACGTTCGGAACCCTGATTTTAATAAAAACGTAAATGGATATTAATATTTATGATATTTAGTGTCACTTAGATTAGAATATATGTATACAATTGTTTTGGGACATTATGACAAAAAAATATTTAAATAATATTTTGGCAAAAAATTAACAGAATAACCTTTTTTTCGTTCTCCTTTTGTAAAAATGCTTCTATTGTATTAATATTTTTTGCCTGTATTCAGCTCGAACCTCTCTACAGAGGCTCAACTAAATTTTTGAAATGCATAACTCGGAAGTCGGTTTGCATCCATTGTTTTACGAAAACAAGAAGGGAGAAATTTTAAGAAAATATGATAATTATTTCAAATGGTTGTAACTCTGAAAATAATTTGAAATTTTCAAAAATTCATGGTTGAGCCTCGTACAGAGGTCTGAGCTATACAGGCTGAAGTATTGTCAGCACAAAAGCCATTAAGACCAAGGCCTAGCTGTTAAACAACTGTCGCCATCATTACAAAAACAATTGTATATATGTATTCTGATCTGACACTAAACTCATGAAAGAAATCCATTTAAATACTTCTTTTATGGTTCCGGAAATGATCGTCTGGCACGAAAAAATGAACATAGAATGACCTATTTTCAAAATATTCTCCTTTTTGGGAAAAACTTCTGTATAATAATATTTTTGCTTGTATAGCTCAGACCTCTGTACAGAGGTTCAACTAGAATTTTTGAATTATATAACTTAGAAGTGGGTTTATATCCATGTTTTACGACAACAGAGGGGAGCAATTTTAAGAAAAAAACGCCGATAATTATTTCAATTGGTTGTAACTCTGAAAATAATGTGAATTTTTCAAAAATCATAGTTGAGCCTCTGTACAGAGGTCTGAGCTATGTACAGGCAAAATATTATTACAATAGAAGCATTTTTCACAAAAGGAGAACATTTTGTAAAAAGGTTATTCTAAGTTAATTTTTTGCTGAAATATTGTATTTAAATAAATTTTTTTTGTCAAAATGTCCTTAAAACAATTTTATACATGTGTTCTAATCTAAGTGATACTAAAAATAATGAACATTATCCACAAAGCTCTCATTTTCATACCCGGTGTACAACGCGCACCCGTAAATTTCGATCTTATTTTTTGTGTTAAAAGTGTGCGTTATACGCCGGATTGTACGGTAATTAACAATATGTTATGGATACTTTATGTAAAGCCAGTTAAAAAAAGAGTGTTGTATTTCTCATTAAAAAATTTTAACGTAATTTAAATAAAATGTACTCATTAATAACATAAATCTGTGATCTCAGTGTCACCTACCTCTACATTATATTTCGTAACTGCAATTTGTGCTTGCGTTTTTTTTACGAAAACTCTCAAAGTCTAGGCCTATTGAAATTATCTGCAGTCGCATTTCATATTCTGCGTTTAATTCATTTTTGTATTTTATTTTTATAGCCACTCACGTTGAGAAAAGTATTTTTTCCTTAAATACATTGTTCTAAATGGCATTAAAATGTTTACAGCTCTATGAGAATTCCTATGTATTTTACATGAGTTTGCAACCTAAAATTTAGGAGCTTTTTTTGCTTAACTTTAGATTTTGACAGTGAATCAATTGATATGTCGAAAAGTAGTTTCCTCTCCTTTATTACATTTGTTTTTTCTCACATATGTAAAAAGGAGCATTTTTCATTAAAAAACTATTTAGTTGTGCAAAATATTGCACTTTTGAGAGTATAAAATTATTTCGTGGAACCCAGGATAACAACAACAACAACAAAAAGATATTCACAATCTACTAGATAGTACATACAAAGAAAAGAAGCTTCGTGGAACCCCTGGATTCCGGGAAACCAGTTTGAAGACCATTGACTTACAGTAACCAATCAAAGAGCACCAGATGGTGATCCCTCAAAAAGATATTGACAGTTTCATAATCGGGGCAGCAATTTGACCTTTGAGAAGTACATATCTCTATATATAATGTCAATGTGTGCAAAAATAAAAATTATCTAACAGAGTATTGTATATTATCTTATAATAATATTTACTTCTTTCCAACCTATTTAAGAAACACATATCTCAATTCACAATTAAAAATATCTCCATTAAAAATCTTTTGAATACAACAAAAATAAGTAACATAAAAAAATTCTTTTAAAGTCAATTTCTACTTAGGTTAACAAAGAAAATTTTTATTTTAGTTACTTTTTATTAAATAATTACAATTAATATAAATATGTATATGCATATGACAGAATCACAGCATTATATAAGTGACAAAACAGAAGGCGATTTTCCTTCCTATATATATGGTGTTGAACTATTATTTTTGTTTGTTATTATATATTCATTTATAAATCATGTTCTCAGAAATTAAGCCATCCCAGGTAGGATTAAAAATCACAACCTTTGAATTAGAAGTCCAATGCGCTATCCATTGTGCTACAGGGACACGGTGAGCGGTTTTCCTTCTTATACATGGTGTCGGACTATTATTTTTGTTTCTATTATTCATTAATTAAGTTTAATGAATTAATAGTTGAAAAAACTGTATTAACATCAAGTGTCATCCATGTTTAAAAAAATGTATTTGAGTGCAAGTTTAAAATAATGTATTTGAACTTGAATGGATGAATAGAAAGTATTTTATTACCGACTGAAAATTTGAGCAAGATATTTATATATATGTTACCGGCAAAGTATGAAATTCCGGCATTCTATAGAATGACTAAAGCTGTTTAGGCAAAGTATGAAATGAGGTCATGATAAGGTTACTATATCAATGATGTACATTTCTAGAAAATACAAATGTTATTCTGACAAAATAATGAGAGTGGCATTAAAATATTCAAAATACGTAAAGGAAAAAGAAGATTGTACCAAACAAAATTTTTTTTTTCTTTTATTAAGGAAAACAAAATTTTCAAATAAAAAAAACAAAATTTAAATTTACTTATTACAACATGGTAGGCGAATCTTTTGAATTACAATTTCATTTCATTTTTTTACGCAAAGGCCATTCTTATTATTTCCAAAATTTCCCTTTTGTTCATATTCTGGAGTTGTTTGTCAAATAAGGTCTATTTTACAAATTTAGAAATTCATTAAAAAAATTGACAAATTTGTTGAGTACTGCTGAGTGCCACTGAAAAATTTAAAATGGGCCTAGGTTGCCTACCCCCTGCTATAGAATGACCCCTTTCCCCAACACTACAAGTTGCTTCTCCTTTCATGCAGCACGGGGAAAAAACCCAAATTTTTTTGCTGAAAAGTTTAAGTAAAAATTAGTATTTTGACACCCCAAACAAACCAAAATGGCAACTGACAAATTCTGGCCTGACCCCCGGTTTAAAAAGTCTGCCCCCGTATTCGAAAGGAATCGGAGATGTATTTCCTACTTTCCGGTTTTCATTAGGCATTCTATACAATGCCGGATTTCATACTTTTCGTTAAATATATACTCCTTGCCATAAAAAGCGCACCAAAAAATAATTTGGGGTTTGTAAAAACTTTGGGATGAAGGTACATGTTGGGCAGATATGCAAATGATTAGAAATGCAGCGTGATTGCACATTATGTAATGAAACTAGAGAGCGTTGAGCTTCGTTCTTCTTGAAGTATATTGATTGATTGATTGAATATTAACGTCGCACTGTTCAGCTACACGAGGGCTTTTGGCGACGGACCACGTAATTTTGAACCATGGTCAAGTGACGTGGACGACACCTGAGCTGGTACCCTCCTAACTACCCCCACCACCAACGGGAGGGACGTTTCAGCTCTCGACAGATTTAACGTGCATCGCTGCCCTACACGGCAGGTCTTTAGTGGTACTGGGCTCGAACTCGTGACAAGGCAAGCCATGATCCGATTCCTATACTACTCGGCTATCGCGGCCACCTTCTTGAAGTATATAACAGGTAAGCAGAGATTTTTTGAGTGTACTTAATCTTTTGCAAAGGAAACGCTGTGGTAGACATGCCGTTACGCCGCCATTGAAGACAATATGAGCAACTGTCACAGTTCGAGAGGGGGGAAGAATCATTGAGATGATGGAAGCTGGGTGGTTAGCTTGGCGAGTAGCTTGTCAAGTAGGCCGTTCTGATTTGACTGTGAGGAAGTGTTGGGACCAGTGGACAGAAGAGATATTATTTACACGGTGACCAGGCTCAGGACGCCCTCGACAGACCAATCGTCGAGAAAACCGTCACATCTTCGACACGCACGCGTAGTGCCAACTGCCTCATTGACCACTGACCAGACACAGAAAGCAACGTTAAATTCGGGCTCCTGCGTCTTTCCAAACCATCGCAAGTCACCTAGCTGAAGGACATCTGTTATCGAGGTGCCCATTACGTGTGCTGCCAATGTCACCCACCAGCCGACACCTCCGTTTGGAGTGGTGTCACTTACGATGAGATTGGACTGCTGTGGAATGGAACCAGGTCGTTTTCAGCGACGAATCTAGATTCAATTTGAGCAGTGATGACAATCGTGTTCGTGTGTGGAGGCCCAGTGGTGAGCGCCTCAATCCTGCCTTTGGTTTACAGCGACACACCACTCCCAGCTGGTGTGATGGTATGGGGGTGCCATCGATTACTATACGTGGTCACCTCTAATATTAATCCATGACACATTGACAGCCCAGAGGTACGTTCATGACATCCTTCAGCCACATGTGTTACACACTCATGGCAGGGATCCCAGGGGCCATTTTTCAACAAGAAAATGCTCGACAACACACAGCAAGGATGTCACAAGACTGTCTCCACCCCATTACCATCCTTTCCTGGCATGCTCGATCTCCAGATTTGTCACCAATCGAGCATAATTGGGATTACTTGGGAAGGCAAGTTGGACAGCCTCCGAGTTTGGTCGAACTAAAGGTGCGATTACAGCAACTGTGGAACGTGGAATCATATGGAACTTTTATGCCTCAATGCCCGTTCGTATCGCATCATGCATGCGCGCTAGAGGGGATCCAACAGAATACTAAAACTTCCGTTCATTCGTACTTTTCTGCAATAAATGATCCGTTTTCTTTGATTTTCTACTCACTTAATTACATCAAAGTAGTACTTACATATGTAAAATTTCGTTTCCTCTTGACGACTCTTTCTTGGTGCGCAAATTCTTACGGCGATGAGTGTATATAGGGAGATTGTGAACTAATAGTAGGAATTAAAAAAAGGAGGTAAATATATTTAATTATAATATCACTATAAAACTAACTGAGCAGAACTTCCTTGATTGTAAATGCAATGAATATAAAAATTATATTAATGATCCTCATTAATATGTTATTACCACTGTCGTAGCTAGCTCTGAAGGGCCCTGTATCGAAATTCCTTCTTGGCCCTTTTTTAGATATGAGAGCCCTGTTAGTGGGATTGTAATTATACATGTTGGGGGACCTTGTAGCTTGGGATTGATTGATCATTGATACGACTGATAAGGAGGTAGCTACGCCCCTGTTCTAAGCCCACTGGCGTGGCTAGTTCTAAGTGGGATTATATCAAAATTCTTTCGGGGCCCTTTTTTAGATATGAGAGCCCTGTTAGTGTGAGGCTGTAGCTACACATGTGGGGCCCTTGAAGCTTGGAGACCCCGTGTCATTAATACGGCAGTAGCTCCGCCCATGTCTAAACCAGGGGTGGGCCATTGTTTTGGCTCGAGTGCCACATTGTGGAAGTGGAGGATACCGGAAGACCACGCTTTTTTTTTTAAAATGAGTGCATTCATTAGTTAAATTTGCATCTCGGAAAAGGTATAAATTGTACCTCAAAAATCAATAAATACACACCCAAATCTTTTTTACACGGTAGATACATAACTTAGAAAACCATGCACAAAAAAAAAAAAACGTGTAAAAAAATACATGCGACCTATGGTAACTTTGGGGATAGATTTCACAATTTTGAAAAATCGTGTAAGATGAAAAATCTCTTATTATTTTCTCGCAAAAACCATGCACAAAAAAGTAATAATAATATCCGTGTTACAAATTTATAAAACAAAAACAATTGATTTTTTTTTACAAAAAAAATTAATTAGTGTACAGTGAAAATTTTCAGCTTATAAGAACATACAACATATAAAAATTCAAATTGAAATGCGGAATTGTTTTACTAACTACTATTTATCGCTACTTGATAACAAGTGTGCAAGTTTATTACGAACTGGATCAAAAACGCTGCCCCCAGTAGATGTGTCAGATATGCCTAGCGCAGTGAGTGAGTGAATATTAACGTCGCACTGTTCAGCAACACTAGGGGTTTTGGCGACGGACCTCGTCATTTTGAACCATGGTCAAGTGACGAGGGCGACACCTGAGCTGGCACCCCCATGCCTAGCGCAACTGTCGCTTTTGATTCAAATGAAGAATTTCGTTCGTTATTAACGGCCTCAATTTAGTTTTTTGTTGTTATAAAGTATGTTATTAGCGACTATTTTTTTCCCGACTTTTCAAGTTGCTTATATAATTCTTGATATCCTGTTACACAAATCTTAAGATTACGTTGAAATTTTAATGCACGCTCTATGTCAGGATCATGAGTAAGAAAATGTTCGACATTTGTAGCAAATTTTAAGCCCTCGCGAATTAGATCAGCTGTTAATAGTTGAACTTCACCTTCGACTTCGTCATTATTGACTTCTTTATTATCATAAACTCATAAATTCGATCAAATCATTCTCATCCAAAGGACACGAATCCTCAAATTTTTCGGAATTTGTGCTAAAACAAAAATCGTGCAAAAAAAAAAATTGTTAAATTTGTGTACCATGTTATTTTAAAATCGTGTACAAAAGACGATGTAAAAAAAGAGTTGGTGTATAAGTTAAATAAAATAGAGTGGCAGTTTTATTCAACCAGGGCCGGCTCTAGCAGTTTTGCCGTCCGGACAAAAATAGAAAATGCCTCCCTTCTCTCCAAAGCAAAAAAATTATAATTAAAAAAGATAAATTGTTCACATAGATACACACCTATAAAACTCGAATAATTCTTGCGAACAAAAAGGCAGCATAACAATATTATATGTATATAGATACGTAAAATTCTAAGTCAAATACAAAATAATTTGAAATTAAGGACATAATTACCTGTTATTAATTCAAACGAGTAAAATGTAAGAGAAGGAATCGTGCTCATTTCAGCATGTCAACTTTTTCTAAAAAGAGTCTACTGATGGTGGGAATCTCAAATGTTTATTTTACATTATAGTAACCACACTCAAGACTAAAATAAAACATCTCCTGTGATTCTATACCTACAAAAAACTCTTATTGCCCCTGTTCCCTTTTGGATAGCTAACACCGGACGTCGTATGGGTGAAAGGATTGTCAGTAGTGACCCCAGTCCAGGATGGGGAGAAAGTTACTAGTGAAAGATGTGTAAAATTCAGGTTTCATGTAAAATCAAATTTCACGTTTGATTATATGATCCCGCATCGA